AGGGTATTCAGGTTGATCCAATGAAGGTAGAGGCGGTTTTAGAGTTGGCCTAGACTGTCCTCAGCCACAGAGATTCGTAGTTTTCTTGGGTTGGCAGGATATTATCGCCGGTTTGTTCAGGGATTTTCATCTATTGCATCGCCCTTGACCAAGTTGACTCAGAAGGGTGCTTCATTTGCATGGTCGGACGAGTGTGAGGAGAGCTTTCAGAAGCTCAAGACAGCCTTGACCACAGCTCCAGTACTGGTTTTGCCGTCAGCTTCAGGTTCATATACCGTATATTGTGATGCTTCGAGAGTTGGGATTGGTTGTGTATTGATGCAGGAGGGTAGAGTTATAGCTTATGCTTCTCGTCAGTTGAAGCCCCATGAGAAGAACTACCTTGTTCATGACTTGAGTTGGCTGCCATAGTTCATGCATTGAAGATTTGGAGGCACTACTTGTATGGCGTATCTTGTGAGGTATTCACTGATCATCGCAGTCTTCAGCATTTATTCAAGCAAAAGGATCTTAATTTGAGGCAGCGGAGGTGGCTAGAGTTGCTTAAGGATTATGATATTACTATTCTGTATCATCCGGGAAAGGCCAATGTAGTGGCTGATGCTTTGAGCTGAAAGGCAGTGAGTATGGGGAGTTTGGCGTATATTCCACTTGGGGAGAGACCCTTGTAGTTGATGTTCAGGCCTTGGCCAATCGGTTTGTGAGACTAGATATTTCGGAGCCCAGTCGGGTGTTGGCTTGTGTAGTCTCACGGTCTTCCTTATATGATCGCATCAGAGAGCGCCAGTATGATGACCCGCATTTGCTTGTCCTTAAAGACAGGGTTCAGCATGATGATGCCAGAGATGTGACCATCGGTGATGATGGTATGTTGAGGATGCAGGGCCGAATTTGCGTGCCTAATGTGGATGGGCTTAGGGAGTTGATTCTGGAGGAGGCCCATAGCTCGCGGTATTCTATTCATCCGGGTGCCGCGAAGATGTATCAGGATCTTAGACAGCACTATTGGTGGAGAAGAATGAAGAAATATATTGTGGGATTTGTAGCTCGGTGTCTCAATTGTCAACAGGTGAAATACGAGCATCAGAGGCCGGGTGGCTTGCTTCAGCAGATGGATTTTCCCGAGTGGAAGTGGGAGAGGATCACTATGGACTTTGTTGTTGGACTTCCTCGGACTTCGAAGAAATTTGATGCTATTTGGGTGATTGTGGATCGGCTGACCAAGTCCGCGCACTTCATTCCTGTGTGTACTACCTATTCTTCGGAGCGGCTGGCAGGGATTTATATCCGGGAGATTGTTCGGTTGCATGGTGTTCTGGTTTCCATCATCTCAGATAGGGGTACTCAGTTTACTTCACAGTTTTGGAGAGTCGTGCAGAGAGAGTTGGGTACTCTGGTGGAGTTGAGCACAGCGTTTCATCCTCAGACAGACGGACAGTCCGAGCGTACTATTCAGGTATTGGAGGATATGTTGCGTGCTTGTGTCATTGATTTTGGAGGTTCATGGGATGAGTTTTTGCCGCTTGCCGAGTTTGCCTACAACAACAGCTATCAGTCGAGTATTCAGATGGCTCCGTATGAGGCTTTGTATGGGAGACGGTGTAGATCTCCAGTTGGTTGGTCCGAACCCGACGAGGCTAGGCTGTTGGGGACAGACTTGGTTCAGGACGCCTTAGAGAAAGTGAAGGTGATTCAGGAGAGACTTCGTACAGCGCAGTCGCGTCAGAAGAGTTATGCGGACCGGAAGGTTCGAGATGTGTCCTACATGTCTTGCTTTGCCGCCCAGCTTGTCGAGTGTGCACCCGGTATTTCATATTTCTATGCTCCGGAAGTATGTTGGGGACCCGTCTCATGTTTTGGATTTCAGCACGCTCCAGTTGGATGATGATTTGACCTTTGATGTGGAGCCAGTGGCTATTTTGGGTCGTCAGGTTCGAAAGTTGAGGTCGAAGGATATAGCTTCAGTGAAGGTGTAGTGGAGAGGTCGGCCCGTGGAGGAGGCTACCTAGGAGACCGAACGGGAGATGCAGAGCAGATACCCTCACCTATTTGAGGCTTCAGGTATGTTTCTTAACTCGCTTGAGGACGAGCGTTTGTTTAAGTTGGGGAGGATGTGACGACCCGACCAGCCGTCTCATGAGTTACCGCTCCGTTTCCCCCATTTCTGCTTCCTTATGCTTCGTTATCCGTGTTTTATGTGGTCGAGTTGATTGGTTTGTGGTTGGAGTGGATTTGGTAAGGAAATGAGACACTTAGTCTCTTTTAAGAAGGCTTAAGTTGGAAAAGTCAACCGGACGTTGACTTATGAGTTAGAGGGATCGGATGTGAATTCCGATGGTTCGGTTAGCTTCGGGAGGTGATTTGTGACTTAGGAGTGTCATCGGAAGTGGTTTTGGAGGTCCGGTGTAGAATTAGGCTTCAATTGGCGAAGTTAGTATTTTGGCGATTTCCGATTGATAGGTGAGATTTTGACCTGAGAGTCGGAATGGGATTCCGAGAGTTGTTGTAGCTTCCTTGTGTGATTTGGGATGTGTGTGCAAAATTTCAGGTCATTTGAACGTGGTTTGGTTGGGTTTTTTATCAAAAGCGTGTTTCGGAAGTTTTAGAAGAACCTAGGCTTGAATTCGATGTAATTTGATGGTTTTGGTGTTGTTTGAGGTGTTTTGAGAATTGGAACAAGTTTGAATGATGTTTTGGGATGTGTTGGTGCTTTTGGTTGAGGTCCCGGGGGCCTCGGGGTAATTTCGGATGGCTAACGGGAAGAATTTTGGACTTGTGCAATTTCAGATTTCTGTTGTATCTGGTATTTTCGCACCTGCGGCTTGGGAACCGCAGGTGCGGTATCGCAGATGCGGGGTGGAGGTCGCAGAAGCGGAAAAGGCAAGGATAGGCTGGGACCGTAGATGCGGATAGGGAGCCGCACCTGCGAAGCCGCAGATGCGGCCAGGCGGGACTTAATAAAGTTTCGCAAATGCGGAATATTAACCGCAGAAGAGGATTTTGAACTGCAAATGCGGTTTTGTCTGGGCAGAATGTTTAAATGGGTCTTCTTCGCGAATTTTGAAGGGTTTTTCATTTCTAACTTCGGACTTGGAGAATTGTGAGCGATTTTGAAGAGGGACTTCAAGGAGCTTTGATAACGTAAGGACTTTTGGACCTAAAACACAATTCTATGGTGTTATTTCATGAATTAGGACTGAAAATTTAAGGAATTAATGGACAAAAAAATAGTGGTTTATGGCTTGAACTTAAGAGAGCATAAATTAAGGATTTGAAGGGCCAATTGAACTCCGATTCTTGTTTTTTTGATATGTATAAACTCGTGGGGAGATAAGGAGTCTAATGATGTGAAAATTTCTGAGTTTCGAGAAGTGGGCCGGGGGCTCGGGTTTTGCTAATTTTGGAGATTTTTGATATTTTTCGATTGTTTTCGCTTGGGCTTTGTTCCCTTAGCATATTGTGACGTATTCGCTCTGGTTTTGGTCAAATTTGACGCGCGAGGAGGCCGATTTGAGAGGCAAGGACATAGCGAGCTAGAGCTTTGGCCGGTTTGAGGTGAGTAATTATTGTAAATGATGTCCTGAGGGTTTGAAACCCCAAATTGCACAACGTAGTGCTATGTTGAGGTGAGACACACGCTGTATGATGAGCGTGGGGTCCATTATTACTGGGGATTGTGACTTGGTCCGTCCCGATTGATGATTTCACCGCATTTTTTTACTGAGATTTAATAATTATCATTATGATTTGGCCTAGTTGCCATGTTTGGGGCCTTGTGCCGACTTGTAGAACCCTTAGGGGGCATTATGACTGATTTTCCTCACTTTACTTGTTAAAAACCATATCCCCAGTCATGTTTCTAACTGTTTAAAACAATATGAACCGGTTTTTTTTTTTTTTGAAAAGTTAATCCTAAATGAAAGAAATATGTGGGCTGAGATCCCTACCTTATATTATTGTGCCCGAGAGGCTGTGATTATAATGACTGAGAGGGGTTTAGAACCCAAACGGTGAGGATATTATAAATATATATATATATATATATATATATATATATATATATATATATGTGTGTGTGTGTGTGTGTGTGTTATGGATCGGGCTGCACGCCGCAGCAAATACTTATATGGATCGGGTTGCACGCCGCAGCAGATATATATGTGGATCGGGCTGCGCGCCGCAGCAATATAGCGCTTGGGCTGTAGGAGCCCCTCCCGGCGTCTGCACACCCCCAGTGAGCGCAGTCGACTATTTATATGGATCGGGCTGTGCGCCACAGCGATGTACGGATCGGGCTGCACGCCGCAGCGGTTATTTTGGTTTCGGTTGTTGAGAGAGATATATGGTTACTGTGATCGAGGAACAGGTTTATACTTGTTAAATACCTGATAAGCTACCTGTTTTACCTGATCTAAAGAGATTTCACTTGACTTCTTCACTATCTTGCTGCTTTAAGTTGATTTACAGCTTTGATATAGAACTGCTTAGTGCCTTTACGTGTTTTCTTACTTTCAGCCATTATTTATGATTATTACTCACTGGGTCAGAGTACTCACATTACTCCCTGCACCTTGTGTGCAGATCCAGGTGTTCCCGAGGCATAGAGAGAGCTTTCCTGTTGTTCATCATTCACCGGAGTCATCGAGGTAGCTGCATGGCGTCCACAGACCCGATTTCTCCTCCTATCTTCTTTATTTCCAGTATTCTTAGATTATCTCTGTTTTAGGCTGTTTAAAGACTTGTAATAGAGGCTCTTGACTTGTGACACCGGATCGGTGGGCTATGTAGTGATGTTATTTTGACTTCCGCACATTTTATCTATTGTTTCAGACTCCTATTATGTCAATTTGGTATTTAAATTCTGTTAAATGAGTAATGAACTCTATAAGAGAGGGGTTGTGATTGATAATTGGTCGGGCTTGCCTAGCAACGTGTTGGGCGCCATCACGACCGGGGTTGGGGTCGTGACATAAACATATGGAAGACTACAGCAGTTGAAACTAACGAGAGATGTTGGCATACTGTTGAATCTTCTCACCATACAATTTGCAAAGTCTATATTCATGAATGTAATGAGCTCCCATTTTCTCGTAAAATTTCATACTCTTTTCATTCCAATCAGCCACCAGCCAATCAACCATCCCCATTCCATTACTTGCAGCCTGCGATGCAACAGCAGAAAATAACATTTTCCCAAAACCCAAATCCCTATAACAATTCCTCACAAACAACTGGTCCAAATATAGATCAGGTTTCTCAAAGAAACCATTGTAGCTTGGATAAACCAGCACATGACCCGCTACATAAATATGATCACCATTATATCTGGACCTCAAAGTCTCAAATTCCGAGTCGATAATTGGGGTCTCAAGATTGATATTATTCTTGATGACAGGGTTGAAACTGAGGTCTTGGGCCATGGTATTAGGAAATGGGTTGGATGAGACCTCAAGGATAGGAGCAGTGAAAGAATGACAGGTTATGGTAATTTTCCATTTGGGAAATGAGTTTGTGAAGATGTGGCACATCTGGCTCTTTGAAGATGAATTCTGACGGAGATTTGGTGGCTGAAGATTGTGTTTTCTTGCTCCATAACTGGTTGTGTTATTGCTAATGGTGGAGTTTGGACTTGTATTTATATGGAAGGAAATCAAGGTTTGCATGACAATTATCTCTTGATTCTTAGAATCTGATTATGTAATTAATAGTGTTTAGCAGCAGTCAGTGTGATATTCGGTGAATTAGATTATGTGACATATGATATTATTTCAGCTTTGACCAGGTAGCTTACATCGAATAAGTACAAGCGCGAATTAAAGAAATTGAGATGAACACACGGACATTATAGAAGCTCTCCCGATGTAAATTTTTTTATACAATTACATCACTTAAAAATTAATTGCAGTTAATTTTATTTAATATTATAAATTAAGAACCTAGAATAAATGGTTAAATTATGTTGACAACATAAAAATCGTCGTCTGTGTAAATAATAAATCCATTATATTAATATCATTGTAAGTGAGTTTTTGATCATCTGCACCTACTTTTTTCTCTCTTATGATTCGTAACGATGTATAGAATATCATTTTTAAAAGACGTTTATATTGGGAGTCGGAACCGAGGGAATACTTGATATATGAATACTCTATATAAAATATTTACACTAACAACAAAATTTACTTTCTAAACTAAATTAATCATTTAACACAAAAATAAGCGAATTTCAAAAAATAAAAAATAAATAAAGTGGTGGACTATCGGATATTGAGGTCCACAAATTTTGATTTGGCTATCATCACAAACAAGAAAAAGAAATAAACGTACATAACGTAATAGCTTAATTTTGAGCATTAACGGTGTCAAAAATATTTACTCCTTATGATCAATTTAAACGATAATTGTAGTTTATTCTATTAAGTATCACTTATTGGTGAATATCTAAAATAAATTATAAATAATCTAATATAATATGTCGAATTACACTAAAAGAAAATTGGTGCAGGAATACTTTTGTGTTCATGCAGTTTGAGAGAACGGTGTAAAAGAAATTCATTTATTGTCGATATATATATAACTTAATTCCTATATAAAAAGGATAAAATTAAATTGAATACTGAAGCAAATATACTAGTTAATTAGCAAAGAAAATTATCATAATTTATGAAAAAATAACCTCAATCAAATAACAAAAAAATATAATATAACACTTTTCTTTATACTAATTATTTAGATAATATATAGTAATAATAATAGTAATAATAATAATAATAATAATAATAATAATTTAAAATAAATTTGGGGCCTTCAAAATTTGGGGGCCTAAGGCGACGGCCTCACTACGCAAGCCTTTAGAGTCGCCCCTGCTTTTAGGCTCCTTTCATTCAAGTAGTGGAAAATAATGTACTAGTAAAAGTAAAGAAATTAGTCTTAGGCAAATACTTGTACAACATGGGAAAGTAGAAGTTACACTTAGACATCCCAATCGTATATTCTCTGTATCTTGGTGACAATCAACCAACATGGTTAACTTGGAACTGAAGGTAACACCTACATGATCTTTCCGACAAGGTTGGTAGGAAAATCCAAGGCTGGAATGGGAAACTTATGTCCTATGGAGGTAAAGCTATCCTTATTAAGGCAGTTATTTACTCTATTCTTATGCACATCCTCGCAGCTACTAACCCTCCCAAAACTACACTTCAAACCATTGAAAAACAATGTTGCAACTTCTTCTAGGGTAACTCAGAAGAGACTAAAAAGCGTCATTGGTTCTCTTGGTCATCTTTGTGGTTTGATAAAAATGAGGGGGGGTGCTAGTTTTAGATCCATTCATGATATAGAAAAAGCATTTGCAGCTAAGTCATGGTGGATCTTTAGAACCAAAAACTCCCTTTGGAGGATTCATTGAAGCTAAATATTGTAACACTATTCACCCTGTTGCTACTTCATGGAAACCTGGTCCATCAAAGATTTGGAAAAGAATGATGGACATTAAAATTGTTGTTGAGAATCATATCAAGTGGATGCCTTTTAATGGAAGCGCCTCTTTCTGGTGGGATAACTGGTCCGATTTTGGCCCACTAGCCAAGCTTATTAATGATCCAAGTAAAGGAAAGGAAACAGTTATGAACTTCACTCATGAAGGTAATCGGAACCTTGCAGCTCTTGAGACTGTCATACCTAGTCCTTGGGGTGTTCGCCAGTCGGTACGTACGGTATTTAAATATTTCGGTTAGGTATTTTCAGTATTCGCACGGTTTCTTAAAATGCTATACCAATACCGTGCCTAATTAAATTCGCTATGGTTCGATTTTTCTCATTTCGGTTTCGGTTTATTCGGTTCGGTAGCTTCGGTTTATTCGGTTTGAATACTAACTAGTGCATAGATTTCTAGACTGTAATATTTTTAATTAAAGTACTCAAAAGTACAAATCTAAATATGTTTGTACACAAAAAAATTGTCCAAAAGTAGCAAGTATCAACCAAGAGAGAGAAAATTGTACATAAAAGGAATAGATTTGATCATTAGAAATGCCTTGTTACTTGCTTAGAGTTAATTGATGAACTTAAAGAATAAAGAAAAGTAAAATTTTAGATTTTTATATTTATGTTATAATTAATAATATGTGTATGTTGTAATATAATATATATTTCGGTACGGTATTGGTATTTCGGTATTACATTTTAAAATACCAAATACCATACCTAATACCAATATTCTTTAAAACTTAAACCAAATACCATACCGAATACCAAAATATCGAATATCAAATACCAAAATTTTCGATTTCGGTACGGTAATTTGGAATTTACCAAATTATGCACAGCTCTACCTAGTCCCATTGCAAGGAATATCTCCATGATTAATGTGCCTTTCAATTCTAGAATTGATCAGCCAATTTGGACCATTACTAAAGATGGTTCATTTTCTTGTAAATCGGCTTGGCAGACTTTCAAGCAAGCTAAAAATTTTACTAACTCTGCTTCCAATATTTGGCATAAAGGGGTCCCTTTTAAAATTTCATTCTTCATGATGAGATTGATACATAATAGACTACCTATTGATGATATTTCCAGGAGGTATGGCTTTGTTGGACCGTCTATATGCTCTTGCTGTAAAGCTCCCAAAACTGAAACCATTGAACAAGTATTCATTAACAGTGACGGGGCATCAAATGCTTGGAAGTTATTTGATGGCTATTGTGGCGTGAAAGCCACCACTGTTCTAAGAAAAAACTCTCTTTAACTGGTGGTTAGCAAAGCCAAAAAATAGTGTTCACTCTTTTTTACTCCACTACCTCCCATGCTTGATATGCTAGGAAATTTGGAAACAAAGATGTGCTATCAGATATGGAGATGAAAAACTTTCTGTCAAAAAACATGTAGTCCAGATCCAGAATATGATTTGCATTTTTGATTATTGTCCAGTTTCCATCCTTGCCTATCTTTACTAAGTGGAAACATTTATTCCATGTTGTGGAAAGATGCAAGCCTTTACTAAAGGTTATTCCTGTTAAATGGATTAAACTACCTGATGGTTGTCTAAAGCTCAATATTAATGGATGTAGCAAAGGAAACCCAGGGTTAGCAGGTGGAGGAGGATGCTTAAGAAATGAATATGGAGACCTCATTATGGCTTACTCAACTTTTTTTGGCTCTTGTACTAACAATATGGCTAAAGCAAGGGCTATTCTAGTATGTTTAATTTGGTGTATTGACAATGGATATAAAGAGGTCGAAATTGAATCCGACTCTCTAATCCTAATCAATGGAATAAACAATCAGGCTGGAATACCTTGGCAGATTGTCCATTTAATTGAACATATCAGAGAGATGAGGCCACATTAAGAAGGCCACATTAAGTTCTCACAGGGATGCCAATTGCACTGCTAACTTGCTAGCTAATTGGAGCTTAAATAGGAAATCTTCTACTTTCTTCATGGAAGCTAACACTTCACCTATGAAGGTCAGAGCTGCTTTGAAGAATGACAGAAACCAGCTAGTCAACTTTCGAATTGGGACTACCAAAAAGTCATTCAATGCTAAGCCTTCCCAATTTTGGCTTGTCCTATTGAGAAGGAGTTTTTTCGGCCTTCACAGGCTTTTAAGTTGGAGCTTTAGCTATGTATTTCTCTGTTTTGTGCTCCTCAACTTTTAAATAAGGGGCCAACTAGCTTAGTTTTATCAACCCTTCTTGTATTGAATCTTCCCTTTTTATTGTTTTAATATACAGGTTGAGGTCATGCCTAACCTCTCACCATAATGATGATATTAAGTGGAAAAAAAAAAAGTAACACCTGCAAACAGATATATGACATTTTTCTCACATATGAAATATGATATGCAGCTTCAAACTCCAGTGCTTATACATACCTTTAACAACTTAGCTAAATGAAAGAAAAATATAGAAAAGTGCAATAAATAGTTTCTTCAAATTTTGTGGCTCAAAAGGCCGAATTTATAATCAAGGATTACGATAGAAAGAAGAAAAAAAAAACGTGAGTATTACGATAAATTTGTTTTTGTTTCTAGAAGATAAATTCAATTAGATAAACATTATACCCTTCAAAGATCTCTGGCTATAATTTACTAATAGTATGATACATATTTATGCTATCTGCAGATTAAATAAGTCTACGATGTATGACTGAATTCAAAGACAATGTGTTGGCTAACTGAACCAAACAATTACCTATACATGCGTTGGCTACTCAGTGGTTAAGGAAATCTACACACCATGGCAAATCTGACGTTAAATTAATACATCCAATTCACCAAAAAATCACCAAAAATGTCCTTGGTAATGTTCAGTCTACTAAAAATTCTGTGTAAAATGCCTATGTCTGTCATTGAACCAATTTTGTTTACCCAAAAAGCAATTTAGGACATGTTTGTAAAGAATCTTTCCTTGATCTCA